CAAACGAGATTCCATCAACGTCTCGCCTGCGAAACTTCGGAAGGAAGGAATCGGCAGCCGTCCTGCCGTCCTGCTGCCGGTGGACAGACTCATCGCGGTTTGGGAGGGCTGAAGAGAGGGTCATGGCTTGGTTTGGGAGTCCTAGTTGGCTGGAACCAAGTTGAGGACACAGTTCTCTCTTACAAACATATAGCTTGATCCTTGCGCCAGGCAAAAGTGACAACAAGTTGATTCTGGTCCTTTTCTTTGGAGACCTGCAAAAATGCGGCGAACTAACCAACCGTCTTCATTGGAAGTTGTCACTGAATGTGTTCCTCCCGCGTGTCTTTTCGGTGAGGAAAAGCTAGCACAAACAAACTACTACATCCGCCGTTTTTGTCCAGCACTACACTTGTCCTCTATGAGTTCTTCAGCCAAGTGGTGGCCCACAGGCCCTCGGTCCGATGAAACCTGGCGATAGCTCATGCACGGATCAGTGTAAAATCCCGTTGCTCACCAGATCGCACGAGTCATAAAGCGAGGTGGACGCCCCCCCGTAGTCCCGGTTATGTTCCAGCCAAAAAAAGGTTCTCATTCAAATCACATGGGTGACATCATACGGGCTTTAATAAATTCTCAAACACTGTCATAACTAGAAATCCTCCATGAGCAACCCTCTGTTGCTGATCTCAAGGCATAGCTACCCGCGGAAAAGCAAAGGATCGGAAACAGCAAACTTATCTAATTGGAGACCGCGCGATCCACTAGGGATCAGAATCTCCAACAAGATTCAAGATCAACACCACGCATGGCCTGTCTTCATCTGCCAATCGGACGGTAAATCTCGCCAATTTCATCAGCAGTCCGCCTGAGCGCAGAACACCAGAAAAGCTCTTAGCAGTAGTTCACATCCCAATATCCCAAAGGATCCCAAAGGCATGAGAGGACTCTTCCCAATGCAGGGCAAACCGTCATTCTCCATCAGTTCTTGCAGTGAGTGTTTCACACCATCCTGAAACCAGCCTTAATTGCCACCAAGGCGCGGCCAAGACTACTGCAGAAGGGGGCGCATGTCGCCCCCTATCCCTTCTGCGGGTGCAGTGTAGTGCAATTCAAACCCACATTGCCCTTACAGCTGAGCCCAAACCGCAGCAGTCGAGCGTTCACGAGGGGTCAGGGGAGCGTGCAGTTGAGTGAGCTGCTCACGTGATTGGGTGGGAGGTCGGGAGAGTTGAGTTTAAGGGGTTTGCAAATTCACTAGTTTTTGCATGTTTTTGCTACAAGCCAGGAAGATCCAAGAAGTAGCTCGTACCAACAAGTAGTTGACCAAATGGTGGTACTGTTTCAACGATCCAACTAAAAACGGACAAAGGTGGAGAATCCTGCGGATCCACAAAATCAAGAAAAGTTACCCCATGGCGGTCGAACCGAGTGGAAGAGAAACGTTGGAGGCAGAAGTGGAGCGGGTTTGGTTCCAAGATGTTGGTTCCTTCCTGACTTTTGATCCAAAAGACCCATGTTTTCATCCAACTGATTGTGGGGTGGCAATAGATTAGAACGTTTGGAACGTCTCAAAAGAAGCATGTGCTGCAAACGTTATGAGGCAATGTTCAGAATGCAGGATACAATTCTCAAGCCATACATCATACAGGAACATCTCAACCCACTCCCCGGAGGACTGATACTTTGTTCACTCAAGCCAAGCTCTTTGGATCCTCCAATGACTTAGTTCGTCTTTGGATGCCGTTGGACTGACACACACAGTGCCTTGGCCAAGAGCTCGATGCTGCCTGGAGCGGATTCCTTCTTTCTGGCGTGTCCTATTGTTGTTGTGGCAGCTTTAGAAAGAAACTGACTGCTCAAGCTGGTGAGTCGACATGGCATGGAATGGACGTCACAATGAAGTGGAGTGGAGCCAATGGTCGTGGTATGAAGTGAGGGATGGTGCAAAACACAGCAAGCACCAAAGAAGGACACCTAGATCATGCTGAAGAGTTCCATAGGCAGGACTGAACACAACAAACAAAATGCAATGGTTTGTTCTCCACCAGGACACGGAGTATTGACACCGGTTCAATGAAATCCAATAAAGAAAGCAAAGGCTCTGCATGAACTCCACGTGTACGTGAGATTCGCGCAGTAAGAAAGAGATTAAACAGACTTTGGTCCGGTCTTTCAGAAAAACCACATCCGGATTCCCTGGTTAACGCAAAAAAGATCAACACCATGGAAAGCAAAAGCATGGCCACGACGCGTGGCGCAAGAACATTCACCAAAATGACCAGCTGATCAAATCACAAAAGAGTTCCCTGCGAAGGATCAGTCCCCCACCCTGAAGCACCTCAGCCTGCTGATCGCCCGTGCTTGCGCCGGAAGCGCTCCAGGTTTCTGCGACTGCCTCGGGTCTCCTCATTGTCTGGGCCGTGAAGCTCCTGCGATGAAAAGCAGCAGAAACAGGGTTTTGGATGGTTTTGGATGGTTTTGGGGTGAGTCCTTGCACGTTTTGCACTGGAAGCGTCACCAACTGAGAGCACACTTAAGCACACCAACCGCATGCTTGCCTGTGGTTCGCTGAGAGTGACTGTGAAAGAGAATCATGGCCGTAAACCTTTGGGAGCCGAGTTTTTGCTCAGACGACGCTGGAGGTTAGTGGTGCACCTCTGCTCCACACACGGTCAAGTCTCTGGCCAGACATCTTATAACACGAAGGCACCAGAGAACCTCCGAAAAGTTCGATTTAGAAACAAGTCACATAAATAGTTCCTAAAGAGCACATGACCTGCCGAGTCAACGCCTTTCGATTGTCGGATTGGCCTCCATGGCATTCAACTCTCTGATGAAAAGCTCTTCAGCCTGGACAATCGGGCTCGTGATCCCAAGTGGGTGGTTGCGTGGACTTTCCTTTTGCGCGAATCCGTTCGAAATGCCCTCAGTGCAAAAGAAATCCGAACCCCCGCAGACCCCCTCAATCCGCCCGCACCTCGGCGGTGGCACCGGTTGCCTCCAAGAGCAGGGCCAGGCAATAGACGCTGTTCAGTGTGTCTGCACGATTGGCTCCGAGTTGAGCTTCGAATCCCGCCAGGGCTCTCCTCATCAATAGCTCTGCGTCAGCGAACTTCTCCCGCTCAATCAGCACACGTGCCACGTTGCTCATCGATCTGAGCGCCTTCAGATCCTCAGGGCCGTGGAGCTCCTGTGCCGGTGCTGGAAGATGTCATGTTGCAATGCGCTGTCTGTGCCTCATAAACATGGTGCGTCAAATATCACAGTCATAGACAGACTTGTGTACTGTTTGTTTGCTGGGGAAACATTGTAGCTCTTGACTCTTGACTTGCCTTTCAGTAAAGTATGCGGGTGAAGCGACTCTTTTATGAGTTCTTTCATTGATGCTCATTAAGCTAACAATCTGTGGAGTGCATGGCATCCTTTCAGCATCTTTCGATTGTCGAAGTGTCCTCCAGGCCGTTCAACTCTCTGATGAAAAGCTCTTCAGCCTGGACAATCGGCTCTCTAATTCCCGAAGCTTGAAGCTTAGGGGTGAGACACCTGGGCCAGTGGGTACGTCCGCTAGCATCATGGTAGGCAATCAAAGAGAAAGCTCCAAGTTCCCAAATGTCCTTTCCCGTCCTCTTCCAAGGGTTCGCATTGAGCGAAAACGGCCATTCACCCTTGAATAAGGTCTCACACGTCCAAATCACTTCTGAATACTTGCTATTGCCCTTTGAAAGGTCTCGGCCTGAGGTCTGCTACCATGACGCTTTGAGTCTCCGATTGTTTAACTGTCATGGAACCCCATGATGCCATGAGATTCATGATTATATAAGGTCTTCAGATTCACTATATCATGCACACCCTCCAACATCACCCAAAAAACTCACCACAAATCCAAAAACCGGTTCACCTCCGCCGATCCGCGGAAGGTCCTCCCCTTCAGACCCTTGCTCCCCAGCGCCTCGGCGATGGAGCCGGTCGCCTCCAAGAGCTTGGCCAGGCAACGGACGCTGCTCAACGTGCTCGGATGCCCGGCTCCGAGGTGCGACTCGAAACCCGCCACGGCTCTCCGCATCAAGGGCTCGGCGTCGGCGAAGTTCTGCCGCTTCATCAGGACACCCGCCAAATTGTAGACCCAGGTCAGGGTGTCTGGGTGTGAGCGCCCGAGATGCGCTTCGCTTCCGGCCAAAGCTCTTCGGAACAGCTCTTCGGCTTCATTGATCTTGCCTTGGGCTTCAAGAAGCGTCGCCAGGGTGTTCACGGAAATTAAGGTCTCCGGATGTGCTGCTCCAAGAAGAGCCTCGCTTCCTTCCATGCATCTCCGGGCCAAAGGCTCCGCTTCATCCAACTTGCCCTGGCTCTTCAGCACGAGCGCCAGGTTGTTCAATGACTCTAAGGTCTTTCGATGCTTCGACCCCAGCTGATCCTCGCGGCCCGCCAGGACGCGGCGCTGCAGTGCCTCCGCCTCGGCCAATTGGCCTTGACGCATCAGCACAACCGCCAAGTTCCCCACAGATACCAGCGTCTCCAAATGCGCATCTCCCCGGCAACGTTCCTTCGCCTCCACCGCCCGGCGGTACATCTCTGTCGCTTCCCTCCACTGGCCTCGTTCCTTCAAGACATGCGCCACATTGTGGAGCGAACTGAGCGTCTTCGGATCCTCGAGACCAAACTGCGCTTCGTACGCTGCCAGGATCCGCCGCCACAGCGTCTCCGCCTCGGCCAGGGCGCCACGGTGCAGCAGCACCTCCGCGAGCCTCACGGAGTAGATGTCCAAGGATCGGTTGGAAATAGAAAAAGGATCTGAAAAATGTAAAAAATAGGTTTGATATGTAATAAGATCTGTAATTACATGTTTGATCCTTAATTTGATTTAGATCTGTAATAATCAAATTGTCTTTAGACATGTCATTGAAATCTGCCAAAAAATGAAATGAACCTGATCAAGGCTTTGTCCAACAGATTCTCTGAATTTCCAGCACATATTGCATCTGCAGTAGTCAGTGTTATACAAATGCCGAGGACGATACCGGCCAAGCGCCAAAAGGGTCTTGGGCTGCTCTGAGCCCAGGTGGGTGGTGATGGCTTCGGCGCGGCAGCGGAGCCTTGGCCACTCACAACTCGTTCACCAATCTTCTATCAACACGAGCGCCGCAGGGTGCGCGTTATCAATCTGGCTACTACATCTACATTGATTCACAGTCTAATGAGGATTTGATTTCTGAATACTCTGAATTGTGGCTATTGCCTAATCTGCACTCGAATACTCACTTCTCTGACATCAGTTAGCTCTACTCTACGGCCATTCAATTCAATTTGGGAGAGCGGTTCAAGACTAAAACCTACAACAGTGTCCCAAAGACAAACAAACAGCAACGTCAATGGTTGTAGGGTAGCGTTCGCCACTTTTCAAGTCAAATAGTATCGTATTCTCATATTCCTTGCGTGCCCTGAACATTGTGAAAAGCTTGCGGCAAACCACGCACAGGTGCAAGGCCATAGTTGCTAGTGCTTAAAATGCTAAAACGACGTGTTCACAAAGCTCACTGCCCATGCGGGCACCAAGCATGAGGGACATACAAAGGTTGACGGCAATTGGCTCGTCATCTGCCAGCAAACAAACACTGACAAGATCTGACAAGCCCAGAACAGAAGGTTGAAGACTTGGTAAGAAATCGCCTTGATGATGTCCAAGACAAAAAACTAAGGTGTTACTATCTTATAACTTGTATTTGTAATCCCTCGCCCTGTCTCTGAAAATGGATTGGTTTTGATGGCAAACAAGCGTCGTTTCCACCAGCACTGCTCTAGCATGGCCGACCTTCTCCTGAGCAAGCAGCATGGTGCCCTTGTACTTTTACTATCGTTAGAACGAGATTGTTTGCCGTTGCGCCATACCGTTTTCATGGTATTGCAGTGCACCCTTGCATCTACAGTAGTTAATGCCTAGCATGAACACATGCGAAATCAGCATTGTGGATCTGCAGCTTCGACTCGAAGCTACGCAAAACTTCCTAAATATACTCGCATTCCAGAAGCTCCGAATGCCCGACTGTTTCTCACTGCGAGCCACTATCGTTCCAACACCCCCTGGGCAACCCTGCCATAACAGCCTAATTGCTTTTGAAGCTTGGCATGACATATATATAGTGTGATTGATAAACTGTTGAATTGAAATTCTAGAGTTGTTGTCCCAACTAAACTTCCATGATAATCTGGTTCAAAGTCTGCTCGCCTCCTGTTGTACTCGGACAACTATGCATTCTCTTGGCGGCATTCCAGGTTCATTCAGCAGCTTGCCAGCCAGATTCCTTGGCCAGCTGAAAATCATGGTCTAAATTTGGATATGGAAGTTCGTTTGATGGTGCAGAAGTAAACTTGGTGCGCTGCACTCCGATTGGCTTGCCCTGTCCGCAAGACGAGCAGCAAAATGCGCGAAAACAAAGACAGTTTCACACAGTTGCAAACAAATACACAAGCCATTACAAATCGTTCGAGCCTTCTCAACCATTTCCGGCGTCTGTCGTTTTGATACGTCATAGGAGCAGCTTGCATCAACCAACATGGGGATGCAATAGGCAACTCTGGAGTGATATTCCTTCAAGAATCTCAAAGGGAATCGGCCCCGGTCTGTCCAACATGGCTAGGCTTGCATGCGCAAAAGGAATATGAATACTGCATACTACATACTCTCAAACAGCAAACATCAAGAAGAATCACAGATATTACACAAAGCTCTCCTCCACTGTTGCCTCGCGGCCTTTCAGTTCGATGTCACGCCTCATCAGGAATGTTCCGAATCGAACCAGAGATAATCACCATTTGTAAGCCTTACAAGACTTAAATCCCAACACCTTTGGATTCCATTTCCCACTAGGATTGCAGGATTGAAAGTTAATCCGCGCAGATCCCAAAGACTAATCCGTAACCGCGTAATCTTCAATCCGTGCAATCCTAGGGGGATTAGATAGGATCAAGCCAGTCTGCTTTCATTGTTTGGAACGGGTTCAGTCTGAACCTGCAGTGAACTGAACCTGCAGTGAACTGTTTAGAGTGTCTTAGAGTCAAGTTTCTTAGGATGTGTGATTCCGACGAAACGAAACGAACCGGACCACGAACCGAATCGGTTCGAATCGAAACCAATTCCTAGGAAACCGATTCTTTAAATAAGGAACCGAACCGACTAACTGACGATCGAATCGAACCCACCCTGCCTCATCATGTTCCTGTAATTGTTATCGAGCAGGGTCTCGATGTTGGACCATTGATCTGGTGCTTTCCGCACCTCAATCGCTGCAACACGAAGCGCGTAACGCTGCGATTCTGGTGTGTAGGGACAGCATGGCTGTATCGGCCCAGGCAGGACCTGCATGTATTGTTTCCCCTCTGAGATTTGCCCATGGCCAAAGCACCTACAAATTGTAACAAAATGTGCCTAATACTGTGACACCCGCGTTGGAGTGCCCGAGCAACTAAGTTCTGTACAGAGTAGACACCTGTCATTGCTGTCATGTCAAACCATGTGTCTCACAACGGCAGGGGTAGCACAGTGCCAAAACCGATGCGCACTGTTCTACACATGCAAGTGAAACACTACACATCGTGGCCAAACATGTTGAAATGAACATATGCCCAGCAAAACACCGGCTCCTGAGAGATGCAATGACATCAATAAACTACGAATGCTGTTCGTCCTATTCTGGAACTATATGTTTGTCATTTCCAAGATAGAATCTGAGAGAAGACTGACATGCCAGTAGCTGCCCTTGCCTCGACCCCACCAGGCATTGGCCTTTTCACCCTCTGTGATCAACGATGCCTGCAAAAAGCACGGATGCAGTGGAGCTGACTGACTGGGAAGAACTGAATTCAACACATTAATTGTAATGACATTGAACTCTGAGAGAAACACGAAGACTTCCACCAATTCTTTGCGTTCGTTGGTGATGTTGCGAAAGCCGAGCTCCGTGGTGTAGTGGAAGAAGCATTCTACGTCACCAGCACGACCAGCACCAGCTTGCGTCAGATCCTAAGATGTCAAAAGGCCTGGATTAGGCAAAGGTCCAACATGTTTCTTGGCCGCCAGAGCCTTTGGGCCTATAAATCCTATAGCCTGTCACGAACAAGGAAAACCACGTGTTTGGGGGGTCATTTGTCCCAAAGACTTTTTTTGGACATGAGAATACACTGCAGGTGTCAACCCTAACCCGCTTATCTGTATAGACTATAGACATGACAAAGCTTCAGTCCCTTACATCAAGTACAAAATGCAACAAACATGTTTGCGCAACAACTTAGCTCGGGTCAAGCGCATCTTGCCAGACCTGCAAGAATCTGCTACGAGCTACCGGTGCAGCTCAAGTTAGCAACTGTGAAAAGGTGTGACGAGACGTTACGCAAACCCTCACATTGATGGCACCTTGATGTTCGACCCCTTGTGGAGCCAGCACCAGTCATCCGCATCGTGTTTATACTCCTCGTGAGCGAACACACCCCCTTCCTTGTAAGCCTTCTCGAAGTAGTGCTTCAGACTAGCCTCGCGGAACGGTGGCGGGATACTGATGCAAAATCATGAAGATGACTTGCCCTGAAGCAGATGGCAATTAGTGCAGTCCCACCCACTTGTGGCAGAAATACTCGGGTGAGATTTAATTGGGTTCAAATCAAGTTGGTTCCAAGTATGTCAGCCAAGTCAGGCAACTAGAAGCAAGATTGAGCAAAGGACGCTGTAAACTGTAAACTAACCCTTCTGCAACAAAACAAGTGCAAAGCATAAACAAACACACGGCAAAGCCCATGAATCCAAAATCATCCAAGTACAATGAACCCTCGCTACAGAATCTACTTCCGAAGACGTCCGAGGCAACTTGAGGAGATTGGCTGGCACTTCCGGAAAGTACCAAACTTTCAACATGGCTGTGCTTTCAGCAAAGGAGGTATATATAGTCAAGGCTTTGGAGCCTGAAAGGTCATTGCCTTTGTAGACCGAATCATACACGTTGGGAGCAGCACAACACGGTCAACAATGGCGTCGACAACGATTTGTGACTGCATGTTGCTGACGTCATTGAGATTCCTTGAGTGTGTTTCTTCTCTCGACAAGCTGCAAATGGTAGACTCAACGCTCTATGCACTCTATGGTGCCCCTTTCCACACTCAGATCATGATAACCAGTTTGTCCCTATACCAGTAGCAGGCCCAGCATCTCCCGACTATATGGATTTCTATCAAACACAGACTGGGGGGCGTCGAACAATGGACAGAACTGCGAAGTGTGTTTGTTCAAATGCCCAAAACATGTTTGACAAATATGACCGGGTCGGATGTCTACTCTACAGGGAAGGGAGTCCCGGGCGCCTCAGAAATCACTTGTTCCTCCTCTTTGCTCCCTTCTCTCACACCGTCACTTTGGACCTGACAAAACCGTCAGTGGTTGGTGAATGCGGATGGAATAACTCATGTTCATCATATTTTGTAGCATGCCTTCTTCGTGGTGTGAGAAGTTAGCCTGGACATGCTTGGACCATGTTGAGAACATGTGCTTCCCAAAGCCAAGAGAGTATATACACAAGCTTGTACGCCTTTCTTTATATATATATATACTTGACAATCAACTGCTCAGTGTGCCTCTGGCTCTTCCTTTGGGCCAGCTTCCTGCCACACATGGCACACAGGCAACAGTAGAGAAACCACGTAACAAGAAGGGTGGTCGCATTGACGATCTTGCGGGCTCGTGGCCTCCCGGTGTTTTGAATTCATTAGCAGGGAAGGGGGTCCCGGGCGCCTCAGAAATCAATTGTTTGTCAGTTTGGACCTGACGAAACCGTCATTGGTTCGTGAATCTGAATGCACAAACTAAGGAAAGTTAGCCTGGACATCCCTGGACCATGTTGAGAACATGTGCTTCCCAAAGCCAAGAGAGTCTACGGTAGTATTAGAGAGTGCTTCAGAAAGCAACTTTGCTTCTGGCTCTCCCTTTAGGCTTGAGACCTTGAGGGGAGCACATGCATTGCGAAGCACACAAAACTGCAAACGCTCGAAACTGCAAAGGCCACCACCGCCCACCCCAAGGCTCCTCCCGTGCTTTTTCTGTCCCTTGTGACAGGCTTTGTTGCCTTTGTCGCTCCTCCCACCGAGGCAGAAAGCCGATAACTTGAAAAGAGACGCTCTCGCTGTGCAGGCCTGACATGGCCTGACAAAACCTGCATAACGAACGAAAGGACTTTCAAAGGGTCGACACGTCTTGTGGGGAAAGAGATGAACACTTTGGTGCGCATCAGTTGCGCGCATCAGGTTGCACTGTTGACACGGGTGAGGTGGTGAGGTTTCGCATCGAACTACTACAGTCATCAAACCACAATGAAGTTCAGAAGTAAATCAAAGCTTGAGAAAAGCATCGGTTTTCACGACGAGCCCAGCCTCGTCCCTTTCTGATCGGCCAGTCTGTGCTTGCTCCTCCTTGCATCGGAGAACGATGATGAACACCGCATTTGATTGATCGAATCCATAGTAATACTATGGCACTATATACCAGAAAAAGCCACAGACCCTGACTTGCCCATCGTTCGATCTCCGTCTCCATTCAATGCTCACGGAACAGCCACGGCCCACACCTGGTAGCTGGCGACCCTCCGAAGGGTTTGGCGTCCTGAAGTCTCTTCTACCTGTCCGTCCGCTACCTGTCCGTCCGGGCGCCTCGAGCTGCACGAGCGCGGCCAAGATCTTTTGCCGCTCCTCCTGGACGTTTCTTCAGCGGGAGCGACCCAGGTACGATACAAAAAGAGAAACACGGGGTATTTGTGCTCAAGGGCCTCGGAAGTCTTCTGCGGTCGATTTTTCGTGGCACGTACATCGACCGAAAACCACATCAACATGCAGCAACTCATCAGCAACTCATCTCCAAGCAATCCTAGATAGGGCGCGCAAGTTCTATGGATTTGATGAAATGTTCACTTGATCGGTTTTCCCTCAGATGTAGACACCCCCGTCCAGCATCCTCTATGATTTCCATCCGCCCCAGCTGCGTCCAATGCAAGCTGCGCAGCTCCGCCCACAGAATTGGGATTCTCCGACCCGTCTCCCAAAAACCGAGAAGCTCCGCGTTCCACCACCCGGTCACCATTCACCCACCGCTTCGGAGCCCCACAAGAAGAGTTTGTTCGCGGCTCCTGGCTCAAGGCGTCCACCAGCTGCTGCGCCTGCGACGTCGAGACGATGGGCGATGTGAGGTTAAAAATTGATGGGCAAATGGAAGCTGCCGCGGGCTGCGGGTGGATGAAGGAGCAGCTGGGTCGGCGCCAAGGATTATCCCGATCGAGCATGGTCCAGAATCTTCAAGTTCACAGCCAGGGACTCTCTGAGGGACAAAGAGTGAGTGGCTTTGATGACATAAACTCCAAAGACTCCTTTGATCAAATCTTCTGATTTTCACTTGCAGAATCTACGAAAGTTTGTGAGTGATTCAGCAGGTCCATCTCCCTACCTCTCACCACATGGGACTACTGAATCAAGTCTGACCATCTGACTGTCTGACCCAGCCTCCCAGGGGTTTGGAGATCGAGTCTTGAAATGAAAATAGATGTTCAACCAAAATAAAGACCATCTTAACGACCAAACAAATGGGATGAACGGTTTCCATACGGACACGAAGGAGCAAACCACTAAAGATCGACTCCAAAGTGGCACCGGAGGCACCGGAAGCGCAAGCAATTCATTCGGTGTTGGGAGATCATCTTCATTCCCCCAGATGTTCGAGATCCTTCACTCCTGCCCCCCCAAAAAGAATTGTTGATAAATCCATTTAAAAGACCCAGGGGTCACATGTCGGGGTGGTGTTTGGTCCCCAGTGAGTGGAGTGGATAATGGGCACCCCGACTACCTCCGTTCGTTCGGCACCCCAACCTCCGTGGAGCTGGGCTGCTCCTTCCGCGCCGAGCTTCCGCTCCCCATGGCCGCGGCGCCGGCGCGAGCTTCCGTTCGTGGGTTGGGCGATCTTCTTCGGCAGAAACGCCGTGTGGATCTGGGCATGTTGTTGCGAAGTGTCCATGACCAATTACTTCCGACATCTCCAACAGAGTATAGTAGTCAAAGGGCGAGAGTTGTTCAAATGAGTTCCCAGAGAAAATGACACTTGGCCACGCTGCCGGCCCGCTGCTACTCTAGAGGCTTTGCCGCTTTTGCAGTTTCTGACGATCAGGTCTTTCTGGGAAACGGATGAAGCCTCTAGCCCTCTGTACCGAAGCCTCTAGCCCTCAAGCGAGCCGTTCTAGAAACCGCAAGAGAGACCATGATGAAATCCTTCTGGACAGTCGCGCATATCAATCCAGCATGTATGTTCCTCAAAACCCAAATGGACGAGTGCAGTCTCCACCAGTCTCCACCAGTCTCTAGGACCATCTGCCGTCTCGGGACTCACGGCTTCGGCCCAGCCGTTCGTCCAGAATGGTCGTCGTGTCCGGTCCGGACAGGTTCTGCTGGTCAAGACATGGTCGGATGACGACAACAACAACAACAACATATAGTCGAGCATATGGCCATTCTTTCTGGTTGACTGGGGAGCAAAGGGAGGGTCTTTGCACCCATCTTCCATGCCCAGAGGCTGAGTCCGCCCCTGTGGCGCAGGCTGCAGGCTGCAGGTAGCGTGGCAGGTGGCGCACAGAGGCGGCGTGGCGCTGGTTCGGGGCCGCTCGGCCGAAAATCGCTGTAGTTTTAACTTATTATATAAATATATATATATATATAATATATATATATATAACTTATATACTAAACCTGGGGCGTCACAATAACGTAGTCCAAACCCCTCTTCGGAAAGCGTTTCCCCGAGTGGGGAGCCTAGGCTCGTTCATCATCATCTGTGTGAAACAAATAACTCAGCTTTGAACCCCCCAATCTGAGTAAGGGCCTGATGAGGGCCGGACAGGAGACACTTCATCCGTTCGCACCCTCCAGAAGAATGGTATTGCATAGTTCAGATTGACATGGATCCATTTTGGGGGGATGGGTGTTTTCTCAAGCAGAACTTAAAGAAACGAAGCCTGCTGAACAAGCTCTTCTCAATGCTGTCACCGCGCGATATGGTGTTCATCCACTTTCGCTCACCTCTCTAAACCTGAGGTTGCAGCCATTCTTGGTCAAACTACCCAAATTCCCAGAATTTCCAAGCCTACTGGGTATCTTTCCAGCCTTGCTGTCATCCTACTCATGTTTTTTCTTTAAAGAAACCACCTGTCACAGTAAAGCCAGCAGCGACTCCGGTGCTAAAGGAGTGTTCAACCAAGCCTTTTACGAGAAGAGTCGCTACTTGGGTGCCATCCGCTGATTGTAATCCGATTGAATCTCTCCTAGATCTCCCAATTTTGGGTGTTTTCCGAGTCTTCTCCTGTGGATGGCTGTGATATGCTGTGATGCTGGCTGGTAGCTATTGATAGCTGCTAGCGCCGCTGAGCTGCGACGGCTTGAGCCTTGCTGCACCTGCACCCGCACCGCTCGAAAGGCTGAGACACTTCCGTAGGCTGGGCACGCTCAGTTTGATCCTTCGATCCTTCTCGATTCTCGATACATTTAAAAAACATGCAAAAAAACAGGGGCTCCGTCGGTAGTGGTTCCCCTTATCCAGACTTCCTCCAACTCTTGTGGACATGCAAAGGAACCCAATACTGACTTCCATGTCCACAGACTACAAGTTGTAGTGAGATTTCACCAACATCACCATGCATCGCCAAATGAAACAAGCTGTACTGTACTGTACTGATTTGTGCCGGCCATGCCACCCTTCACCTGCAACTCCTCCTTTGACACAGGCTGACCCCATTGCCAAACAAAAGATCCACCAAACGAGTTCACTCTGTCATTCTGCGCTGAGAGTCTGTGGGGGGAGAAGGGTTCACTGGTTCACCATCTCATCTGCAAATGAGTTTGTCGACATTCCTTTAGGTCGCCCCCAAATCGAAGAAAAACAATTGGGTCCGGGATTGGTTGCCAAATCCACCACCACGCAGAGAAATTTTCAGCGATTCAACGCCCAGGTGCGGGGACATCAGCCAACGACTCTTGCAGCTGGATCTGCGTTGAAAACAAAAACCTCCAGCAATTGTCCTGGACGCGACGGAATTATCTGCAATCAAAAGCTTGTTTCCAACCTGTGCCAATGCACGATGAACACCGATCTCCGGTCCAATGGCCACACACCCGCGCCAACCTTGCAACCCAAGATATGCCCCGGGAAAACAAAACCAAACAGAGAACCATGAAGCAATTTGCGCTCCAACGTGAGGTCCCACCCAAACTTACAACCAAGAACCAAACTTCACAAAGCCAACCTTTTTCACGTTTACCCAAACCAACGAACAACAAACAGCCGACCAAAACACCGCGCCTGCAAAAAACGACCATGTCACCATGCCAGAACCAACCTTGCCTCCACCTGTCAACCTCTAATTTAGATTCGTGTTTTTGAACCGAATCTCACCAGGGCACGTGAGCAAGAAAGGTCACCTGCGAGCAGGCAGAGAGTTGCCCATTGGGCCCCACAATCGTCTGAAAGTCTGACAGGCATGGAAGAAAGGTTGAGGTGGAAAAGGCATGAAAAGAAAACGGAGCGACGTAGAAATCCGAACACAGCATTCCACCGGCACCAGAAAAAAAGGACAAAGTTTCAACTCGGAGCAGTCCATGCGACCAAAAAAGAGCTACTGAACAGAGGAATCAAGGAGTTCGACTCCCATTGTGCTACTTTGACATGAAAGAAATTGCGTGTGGAGTGTTCACAGTTTTGCTGGCAAACAACACTGTTGGTGCGTTTTTCTTGCTGCGTTTGTGCGCCCAAGTGGTGGAGTATAGTTCAGGTTCTGTCGTTTGAAAAACCTTGTATTTTTAAAACGCCGGAGTGCCGACTCCATGTGCAGGACAAGGGAATTTGCTCAATTTGTTCAATGTGTTCTTTCGGCGCGACGATGTAGACTCCAACCGTCATGATAGCTGCTCCGCTTCAAGTGGCAAAGCTGGCCTGCTGCGCCTGCAGGTTTGATGGTCCAGTTTCCAGCTGACTAATCAGGAACTATGTGAAGCGGTCAAGTTGTGCGCAAAACGAACACTTTGAAACTAGAGGTCTGACAGATTGTTTTCTGGAGCTGGCAAGTGTCGCAAATCGCAAGCGTGGCTCCAATGCAATGGGTGGGGGCTTCCATTTTTGGGTTGGAAAGTATATTTGGAAACAGCGGCAAGCGGATCATTACGCGTGCAAAAAATCTTGCCCATTTGCGGCCCCAAAACCAAGCACCAAAAACGCAGTGGATTCGGAGTTGCCAAAGTGAGCCTTTCGAGTTGTTGACCGCGCGACATTTTCGAGCAGAAGCGCTTCAAAAACGCGCCAAAAAGTGGCCCCCTCTTTGGAGGCCAGATTCCGTCTTCCAAAACAGGGGCACTTTTAAGCGCTTCTGCTCAAAATTGAGAGCGCGCAGTCGACCTGTACCACTCCAGGCACGTGGTAAAATGTTTCTGCGCGAATGGTCAAACCTTGCAAGTCCAGCATTGTGAAACACGGTCGCGCAAGCTTCCCTTTTCGATCCCGCTCCTTGAGCCAAAGTCACAGTCAGCTTAGACTGTCTCAAAGGTTCTCAAAGCTTCTCCAAAGAGTCAAGACTGTTCATAGTCACATAGTCATCTCAAACCTACACCAACCTAAAAAGAACTATCTCGTTCTAGAGATACTCAATGTTCTAGACTACATGAACAAGAAAGCTGCACTCCGAAACTCATTCCCTTCTTTTCAATGCCAACTGGTTTCGAGTGAGTTGGGATGATATTCACCCCCTGAGCGAGCGGTTGTGATCCATGTGTGAATCACGTTCTGATCCTATGGATCCTGGGCGGAGCAAGCGGTTGTGATCCATTCATTGTGAATCACATTCTGATCCTATGGATCCTTGGCTTGGCAAATAGGAGAGAAGCAAGTACTAGGGTGTGGAGGGTGGGGCTGAACATTGAGATATCCTAGAACCAAAATGGCACAACGAACAAGAAGTATCACAAAACATTTCGTGAAGGATCACTACAAACGTTCTAGAGATACTCAATGTTCTAGAATACATGAACAAGAAAGCTGCACTCCGAAACTCATTGCCTTCTTTTCAATGCCAACTGGTTTCGAGTGAGTTGGGATGATGTTCACCGAACTGCCTTCCAACAACACTCGGAAACAAATCCCAAAAAGCCCTGAGTGTTGGCAGAGAAAAGAATCTAGGAGGACTGAAATGTCCATCTGGGCGGGAAGCTGCCTGGATACAGCCGTGGAGCTACGTGAGACCGAGAAGCTCGAAAGGCTCATGCGTCGCCTATGAGCCGGTGCGAACTTGGCGGGGAGGTCACTAAGGAAATCCCATCGACTCAACAAGTCAGGCATCTACGTTAAGTGGCCCTGGAATGTGTGACACATCGCAAGTCAATCTTTCAGAAACTAAAATGTAAGCAAGGTGTTCCACGAAATGGCAAAGCGGAGTGGATGTGGTGAATAACTTGTTAATCGAAGCTTCTGCTGCTACGTTGTCGCTTAAGCTGTGGAAGTGGAGGGGTATGCAAACAGTGGGACATACTGCAAGGCACAGCAAGATCAGGAAACCCTGTGCTAATGTTTCGTAGCATGCGATGTCCCGTTGTGCGTCCGGCCGGACGGGGACATCGAATGGTTTAAGATCAAGAACTGTCCAACTCTCAGAAAAACCAAAATACAAGAGTATTGATTTCGATGAGACCACCCACTTGGAGGCTATCTCCGGATGCTGAGGCATCAGCTGAAGCTCGGACGTTCACCTGAATCGGCGAGCGCATACTGCGGAGAGGGGCGGAGAGTTTGAGCCAATCAAGCCACAACTTCAGGACTCTCCTGCTGTGGACCGAAAGCTTTCGGTGTTGGGACCGGGGGTTGATAATGCGAAGCCACAACCGACGGTCTGTGAGACGGACGGATTCTACTTCCTGCAGGTTCTGAACGGGGGTGTGGCGAACTGAAATCAGTTTCGATTGAGGTGGAACGGCTGTCCCTTGTGGAGTACACAAAACGCTAAGGTCATCTGCCAGGCATGATTTGACCAATGTCCAACAACCCGGGTTGACACTGTAGTGTGTTGCAGGGCAACTATGCAGGTCTGAAAAGAGCCAATGCAACAAAGTTCTGAAGGGCGGGAACAGGTGTGTGACCCAAAGAGCCAGGCCTGTGAACTTTTCAAGTTGCTTGCTGGTGCACTGGCGATGTTTGAGCAATTCTTCAATTTGTGCAATCAGTTTGTCTTGTTTGGCTGGATGAAGGCTTACTATTCCGTTGTAGAAATTGAATCTCCAGCCAATCCAATCGATTAGTGGTCCTAGTGTACATTTACGCCAACTGAGAGGAATGCGAAAAACACGACAGAAAATCGCTAACAAGGTGGCGAACACAGGAAGGACTGTTTGAGATTGGGTACGCAGGAAATCATCCACAAACAACCAAAGACCGTGTTGAACCCAAATGAGTCTATGTAAGATGCGAACGAGCCATGCACCCAATCGACCCCACCAAAAGGCACTAAAGGTGGCTCCAAATGGCAAACCTTGTAAAAGAAAATGCGTTTTTGGAATGTAAAGCCTACCAGGCCTCGATGATGTTCGGCCAAAACTATTCGTTTATGTGCGGACTTGACGTCAAACGTGGCTGCATGCTGGGGC